TAGAAGAGGCTCACTTCATACCCCATACCTCCTCACGAGAGTAGAGTGCTTTTTCAGAAGACGATGGCGTCCCATATCATTGGCAGAGACATCCCTAGTGTCGGGATGGCTCAGCACCTGGTTGGTTAAACGCAGCGCCTCATCAAGAGCTTCATACGATCGCCCGAGTGCCTCTTGTGTACAGGGTTCGCGAGAATGGGTGTTTCTCACTTGTATCGGCACTGTTTCGGATGACTGCGTGGTGTTATGTGCAGAGATGGATTCTGAGGCATGCCCGAACGGCATAGTAACGGCTGCGGGACTACCAGAGGTCGGCTCCGTATTAGTTAACGTTTTATCTGTCAGCTGTTTCAGCATCACGCTACACCGCAGTTTGTCAGTGTCACTGGTTAGGTGGGTGTTCAACAGACCCTTAATTAGCCACGACAGTGCTATCAGCGGGGCAAGGTCACGGTGTTGATCTATGCGCGTGCTCACATACGTCTCCAGCCGTTCCATCAGGGACGGCAAACGTATGGTAACACCGTAGTCGCCTATGAATAAAGTAACTGGTAGTAGTATCAGGTATATTCGAAAATGGGTGTATATAGTACAGGTGTTTGGTACAGATTTATGTGCTACGCATTGCTCGTACTTACATACGCCTGGAGTCGATCCGTAAGGGATGGTAAGTATATTAATTAAAGGTTATTCAGCGACCATATGTGTAAATGTAAATCCCACCCATTGTGTGGTGACATAAGGACATTTATAAACGTATGGCATCGCCGCAGTCGTCTGTGTGCGGGAGAGATTTGGTGTTGATGTGGACTATTTTGAACTTTGTACTAACGCAGTGTTCAAGACTTCCACAATCGATCTACTATCTGAGCTCGCGGTTGGTTCGAATAGTTGGCGGCCAGAGAACAATATACAGGTGAACAAAATGTGTAACAGCAACGGCACATGCGGATATCCTGACCGGGGAGACGCTGATATGCGAAGAACTCTGAGGTTGCGAAATGCACATCACTTGCGCCGATACGATAGCTTTGTATAAGCGAGTTCAGCACGCACGTTACATTCTCACATCCACTTGATCCATATCAAGCCCATCTACTACCCTGAGCCATACTCCCACGGAACATACTTTGACCTGTAATTCACCCAATACAAAATATTTCAATCCTCATTCTAGGCTAGCGTAAAACGGAAAAGCTCGCTCAGCTGCGTTTCAAACTCAGCACACACGTACCTGTGACACATGCGCCTCCCCCTGCACGCAGGTGATCGAGAAACACGCTATCCGTCAGCTCCTGCGGCTGCTGTGTGCCTATACAATGGTCATCCAGTGCAATTAATCGGTGCGTTCGCATGTCTCGCGTCGCCACGTGGGATAACACGTGCTCACCGGCAGGCGTGTCCGAGTTCCCGTGGGATTGGCAGAGAACATAGCAGTAGGCCTATTGAATCAGGATTTAGTATGTCTAGATTTCAGAATTTGCAACGACTAAAAATCAGAGTTAAGTATGTCTGTGAATTGGGAATAGTTATGCTTCTAAATCGGGATTAGGATAAGGTTCAGTGTGCCTAGATACTAGAATAAAGTAAGACTATAACTTCAGGATTAAGTATGCCTGAGGATTGAATTCGGTAATGTTTTGAACCAGAATATGCGATGACTATAAATCAGGACTTAAGCATGCCAGAAGATTAGTATTTAGAATTCTTGTGGCTCGGATATCAATCCGCTTGTAAACTGAAAGTAGGTATGTCCATGGAACAAAAGTAAACAAAGAGGTAGCTGCCGGATGCTCTCCAAGGGGCTGGCGAATAATATATATATATATAAATATAAATATATATATATATATATATATATATATATATATATATTACTTATATATAATAACTAATAATAAAATAGTATATATATATATATATATATATATATTGTGTGTGT